ATGGAAGAAAAGAAGCATTTTAAAATATACAATAGACTGATGTGTTCTTCTTTTTAAACATAATATTTAGTAAAATATTTTCGTATACTACTTCACTTCTACTTGAAAATGCATAATTTGCTTTAAATATTTGTTCTACTTTTACTTGTTTTAGACAATATTTATTTGTTTGGGTTCATTTATTAGTTTTATTTCGTCATCAATTTACGTTGGTTTACTTGTTTTGCATACAATTGAATGTTGGCAATTATCATCGGGAATACCAATCTCAACATTATCGTTGCCAAAAACAACGACGATCATGACGTATGTCAAAAAAACAACAACAGATAGTCAAGACTTATTGAGTTCTATCGAACTGGATCGGAAACTATGAAAATCTATTATCTATACTCTGTTAAATCAAGCATGCTCATTGAGAAACAGAAGATTTTCTTATTGAATAGTTTGAAGGTCATTACAGATGAACCGCGTGTTTCTCTTCTCAGATGAAGATGAATAAAAAGATTACAATGATATCCGACCGTAAACGGGTCATGAATTAGACACACTTGAAAGTAATAGACGAAAGGTCATATCATGACACACACACATACGTTTTATCGTCGGCATGTTTCAAGTTTTTTTTTTTTAAAGCAGCTGCAATCTAACATGCAATATGAGAATATTTCAGAGCCTTCAGAAAGGATAAGCATAGTTGATATTAGTTGACACTCCTCCCTAACAATGGTTCATGATCAATGTAGAGTGTAGAATAACTATCCGTAGGCACAAAGACAAAACAGGCTAGAAAATTTGTTATTAAAAATAATTTTTCATTTTAGAAGGCCATTGCTTTTAACAACGAAAGAGCCCACATTTGAAAATTTAGCTTTATTAATTATATTAACAATGGCTCTCGTTCAATCACTTCTATCCATTATTGGCAGTGTTATTTCATTTATTTGGGCACCGTGTTGTACTGGAGCATCATCGATATCCACAAAAACACATTACAATCATAAGCATGAGGTAGAAGAAATTTATATTTAAAATACATTTCGTATATATATTTACTAAAACGTTTTCAATTCAAGGTTTTAACGACATCCGTACAACGAAATAATAATAGAAAACAACAACGTAATCATCATGCCCAACGTTTTCTAACAAATGATTCATCAATGATGAATGGTTACTTACAAAAGAGTCCATTAAGAACAAATTATGATGATGTGTAATTGAACAGTAGACTAACTTTTATACTCGAACAATTGCTCATGCCATTGCCTTTGTACAGTTTTGTTTTTTAAGTAACGTTGTTTTTTAAGTACATGTTGTTTCTTTTACATAGAGATGAAATAAAATTGTCTTTTATTTTTCTAATACGGTTCAGTTTGTTCAATTAGTAAAGCCAACATTTGTTTCCCAAAAATTTGTAAAATGAACAAAAGTCACTTGGCATCCTAGAATAATGTTTTCCCTTTTGAATCGATTATTATTTAGTATAAATCTTAATTTGTTCATATATATATATGTCATGAATCATTCGATAAATCGTGTTTGAAATCACATTCGCGTGTTAATTTTTGACATCTGGAATGTTTACTCTTCTCTCATCAGTAGCTCAATGAAAGAGAAAAAGTTCTTTTTTTTCTCTCTCTTTCTCTGTTATACGTATCAAATCATATATACATACATATACGTTCACAACAAATGGAAATGTATGTCGGTTAACCGCGATTATATTAACTTTTTTTCTTGTTTCTTCTATCTTCTTCCGTCGTCTGAAGTTCATCATCATTGGCAATTGTATTTCCTAAGAGAGATTATGAACAGTCAAAGCTGCATATGTTCAAATGGTTTTGTCTTATTTCATTAACAACGACCATTGTTCTACTATTTTACTTATTTGATAATAATCAAATTCAAAAAATCACTTCTATTTCAACAACGTCTAGTGAAGATAATGATACATTAGTCTTTATTCATATACAAAAAACGGCTGGAAGTGAATTTGAACGATCAATTGTTAAAAAATTAAAATGGAATGAGAATAATGCACATACTTGTTTATGTCCACAAAGAAATCTAACAACAACCATTAAACTTCGATGTAATTGTAAAAAGTCATTAAATTTGCAAGAGCCATGGATAATAAGTCGATTTAGCGTCGGGTGGATATGTGGTGTACATGCTGATTGGACAATTTACCATCGATGTTTAGAACATATTCTAAATTATTTATATGGAGCAAAAAAACGAAGGTAAAATACACTCTAGAGAATACACAAACAACACATTTTTTTCCAAACAAGGCTTACTAATTTCATTTAAAAAGTTTACTGTGACATGACATTCCCTTTTGTATTTGACTTTATTGATTTTACACGCTAACAGAATATTGAGATAAGTGTAAAACATATCAATTATGGAAAACGTTGAAAAGACAGTTGTCGTCTAAAACTGGCGCTAGCTGTTCATTGTTTAAGAATTGTTAATAGCATGTCGCCACTATTCGTGAAAGTGTCAATGATCAAAACTGCAAATTTGTTTTTGTGGAATCCTTCCCATGCATTCCGGAAGAACTGAAGAAGAATACAATACTGCGCCATGCAACAATTGTCAACTGAAATTCAAGTTTTTTTTGTGAATACACCTTTTTTTCATGCGATGCAGCACAATTATTCTTTAGTCGTCACAAAATCTTATAAGCGAAAAATACTTGCTTTCAAAAAACATTAATTTTCTGAAAAAAAGTGCCCTAAGCAATTGAGATAAAAACTCTTGATTGAGATTTCTTTCACTCAAAATTCATTGTTTCATACATAGTTTGATGCAAGTTGACGAATTGATTTTGTATATGTCATTGGTGTTTATTAACAATTCCTGAGAAAAACGGATTTTAAGTGAAAATCTATCATGAATTTTTTTACGGGAAACGACGTGCGAAGGATTAGACTGTATAATTCACTATGGGAAACTAGAAAATAAGTTTTATTTTTTCGCAAAATGTCCACATGATTTTCTACTGTCCCTAGAGAACGTACTTGGGGCCAAGTACTTCGTCTGAGTAATCAAGCCGGTACTTGTAAATTTACTTGTAAGTACTTATCCTTACTTGCCAAGCACTTTTGGAAAGTACTTCTTAGCAATAAGGCAAGTATTTCGATCACTGACAGGTACTTAGCAAGTAATCAAGTACGTTCTCTACGGGTGCTTCTGACGAAAATGAACTTAGTTCTGTTGAATTAGCGAACTACTTTAAGCTGCAGATATTTCCAAAAAAACTTTATTGTTGCTTTATTTCAGATTTTTGTATGCTACACTATTACGAGATCCTGTATCACGGTTTATCAGTGAATATCTTCATACAAGACGTGGTGCCAATTGGTTACCGGAACGGTTACCATGTAAAAAAGCGCGTCTACTCCGAAATCAAACAGCTTGTTGGAAAAGTAAGAGGCAATTTTCAGGTTATTTAGAAGTGACCGTACGCTTCTTTGTTTCTAGAACAAACATTAGAAGAATACGCACATTGTTCGTCAAATTCGGCTATCAATCGTCAAACACGAATGCTCTCTGATAATTCGTTGATTAATTGTTCATCATCCGAATTTACCTACGAAAGTTTAACTAATTTACAAAGTGCTAAACGAAATCTAATGGCAATGAAATTTTTTGGTTTAACAGAATATTTAGAATTAGATCAAAAATTATTTGAACAATTATTTTCTTGTCACTTTATATCGTATTTAGAACAAGAAGAAAAGACATTAACCAGTGATTATATTATTAAATATAACATAAGTGAACAGATCATCGAATTAATCAAAGAGAAAAATTCACACGATCTTGAATTATATCATTTTGCGAAAAAATTATACTTTGAACGGACATGTAAACTATTGAATGTTTGCAAGAAATAAATATAAAAGCTGTCTGACACTGACTAGAGCGTTAGAACATATTTTCACATGATGAACGAAAGTAGATAAGAAAAATATATTTGAAGTTCAAAACAGCACCTTACAGTTCTTCATACATTTACAGATGGCATTTACAGATTCCTTGATTATTTAGCACATTATACGTTTCTTTTATAATGTACAATTTTTTTATTAGAAAAATAAAATTTATTACATCCACAGTTTTGCAACAGTAACATCCGATGCTGATGAACCTTTTAGCAAATGCGAGAAACATTGAATTTTGACAGTGATAATTCTTCCGGAGATTTAGAGGAACCTCTAAACAAAATGCTTTTCTACGAACATCTCAGGAATGAAATCACTAATCATAGATCTGAAAATTGCTTCAATAATTAGTACATGCTCAGTAGGGTCTGATTTTGACAATTATGATTTTTTGGAGAAAAATTATTAGACATCGTTCTCCAAAAGTGAAGAAAACAAATTGACATACAATCATGGCAGAAAGCTGAAATAAATCAGAAAAGCTTGCTTCTCTAGCATACATTCAAAATGTGTATTTTTCTGGAAATGGGGAAAATGGAAGGCGGACGTGGGTTTTAACTCCCTATTTTTTATTAAAAGACCTTGGGGGTTTATTTATATCCATTTTTTTCTCTCTCTTAAATACCTATAACAAAAAATAGGGAGTTAAAAATCTCCATAGCGTAAATATAGGATTTAAGATAACGATGGGTTTTTAACTCACCAAAAAAAATAAAAACCACAGTCACGCCGTGCTTCAAACTTGGATTTCCCCTTAAGAAGTCATCAATAAGAAAAGACAGGGGGGAATTTTTAAGGGAAAATCGAAGTTTGAAGAAGCAGCCACCGGTTTTTTATGGAAGACGCTGCGAAATAGATGATTAAAACTCAAAGAAAAATAGAACCGAAAAGGGTTGAAACAATGTTATGTATACTAACAAATTGATAAGATCTGCAATTCAATTTATTGTATTTTCTCCTTTTAAGTAAGACATATCACTTTCCTACTTCTTTCATAACATCAGTGACCCTAGCCTTGTTTCATTGAATCTCCACATAGTAGTAGCCCTTCAATGAAAAATTAAGTTGAGATAATAGGATCTCCAAATATTTAAACATTTGACAGGTTCTTATCTTATGAATCGCTAGGACACTCTAGTTAAGGAAATGACCAATATCACCCAAGGGCCAATATAAGATACATCATATATAAAAGTCCTTAAAGTTCACCAAAAGAAGAAGATCCATTATTATTTATTTTTATTATATTTAAATATTAATAGATTATTTTTAGGTTCTTTAATTTTATTTATAGTGTTTATACATATGTTAAAAGATTATCAGGTATCTACCATGATTCGATACAGGATTATACATCTGGACTACAGATGTTAAAAATTATCATAATTATTTACCTTCTGAGAAGGTAAATAATTAAGAGCGGTATAAGTTTATGGTACTACTTTAAAATTGTTTATTGATTTTGCGTTATACATATGGTACCCATATGTTAAAAAGATTATCAAGTATCTACCATGGCTCGATACAGGATTATTACATATTTTTTTAATGTGTTAATTTTCGATTATTATAAGGATTATCCATTCTTTTTGTGGTAGATATAGAAAATAATGTTTGATTTCTAATCAATAAATTAAATTTTCTTTAAAATTAAGTTATTTTAATTATTAATTGTTACTTAATAGAATTAATTTTAAGTGAATAATGTTTATATAATGTTATTATTTTTGAGTTTGATGACTTCTAATACTTTTTATGTTTGGCTAATTAATGAATTTATGTTGTTTTTGATACTTTTAGTTTTAATGTTAAATGATAGTAAGTATTATAGTTTAATTATATATTTTTTTATTCAAAGAGTTTTTTCGTTTATTCTTTTTTTAACTGTTTATTGAAATTATTTTTCTTTTTCTTTTATTCTTATAGTAGTAAAGTTGGGTGTGGCTCCGTTTCATTATTGGGTGATTGTCATTACTGTAGAAAGAACTTTTTTTATGAATTTTTATATTTTGATTTTTCAGAAAATTATTAATTTTTGACTTTTGTGGTTGTTGTTTTTATTTAATTCTTTTTATGTATTTTTATTTAGTGTTTTTAGTATTTTGGTTTCTTTTTTGGGGTTGCTTATGGTTTATGATTTGTGGTTGTTAATGGTTTATTTTTCTATTAGTAATAATACTGGGTTAATGTTGGTGAGAATGTTTACTGTTAATTATTGATCTTTATTGATGTTATATATGTTTATTACTTTTATTTTAATCTGGTATTTTTCTTGTATAAAATATGATGATTATAATTATTTAATTATGGTTTTGTTTATGGTGGTGCATCCTTTCTTTTTATTTATATATAAGTATATGGTAATAGTTAATTTATTTAGTTTGAAAATGTTTTTTTTTTGTTATATTTTTAGATGTTTTATTGTTGGTTTATTATTTTAGTTTTATTTATGGTCGTAATTATTTTAGTAAGTCTTTGTTTTTGGTTCTGTTATTTATTATATTTTTATAAATAATTTTAAATAGTATCTATGTTTTCGTTGACTTTATTCTACTAAATCATAAGGATATTGGTACATTATATTCTATTATTGATATTTGGGCTGGGATTTTAGGTGCTAGCTTGAGTTTGGTTATTCGTACTGAGTTAGGTGTAATTGGTGGTTTAATTTTGGATGAACATTTATATAATGCTATGGTTACTGCACATGCTTTTTTAATGATTTCTTTTTTATTATACCTGTTGCCGTTGGTGGTTTTGGTAATTGGTTACTTCCTTTAATATTGAATTCTTTGGATATGACTTTTCCTCGTTTGAATAATTTAAGGTTTTGATTAGTTCCTGTGGCTTTAATATTTATGATTATAAGGTTGTTGTTTAGTTTGGAGGCTGGGACAGGTTGAACTGTTTACCCGCCCTTGTCTAATTCAGTTTATCATTTTGGAAGATCTGTAGTTATAATTTTGGTGGTGGTTGGTTATTTATTAGTTTATTCTCTTTTTAGAAAAGAGTACTCTTCAAATATTGTAGCTAATCATTTGATTGAAAGTATTTGGACTGTTTTACCTATTGTGGTTTTAA